GGTCAACAAAACAGAATTTAATTCAGGCTTTAACATAAAGAACTCAACCACAAACTGACCTAAAAAAACAAGACATGAGGGAAACTTAAATAGTGGCTGATCAAACCACTGTTGACACACGAGGGGGATAACTGACCATCAAACTAACAAAATAACTAAACTTAATTGAACAGATAAATACTGGCCAGACACTAAGTACTTTTTAAATTTAACTAATTAACAAAATTACCCACACTAAGAATATTTAAAGAAATGATAAACAAATTCCCCTTCCCATTACAAATGGTTTGACCCTCTGATTAGCCTGCAATCAATTGCAGCTTGACAAAACAAACAACGCAACAAATAAAGTTAACTAAATGTGTGCGCTGCAAAAAGATAACTTAAAGTCAGGCTAATGAAAATATATGAAATGTGCAACTCATGTTAAAGTTAGCACACAGCTTCAGAGTGTGACAGCAGGCTGTCACAAATCTATTAAGCAGTTTTGTAACCATAACGAAGTTGCAACACATCCTTGCTGCTAATATAAGATTTTGTTAGTTTCTTTTTGTTCATAAAAAAAATCTGGTTCACTAGCACAAGTATTTCTTTTTACACTTTAAGATAAAACAAGATGTGACTCATCTTTTTACCCTTTAAATTCCCCTGAGACTGGCAGACTTATACTGTAGCTGAAGGCAGCTGCACATTAAACAGGTTGTAAGTTCAGTCAGTTTCCTCTCTGACCAGCGTGTGTCGGACCTGCAGCGACGCTCGCTCTTAGGAAAATTTCTTTTTATAGCTGAAAAAAAAAGCAGTAATCCTGCGGTGACTCACGGTTCTCTTCTGCCTCGCAGCCTTAGTTTATCTTTGCAGAACTCACTGATCAAACTGTACCAAAGATTTTTAACTTCTATATTTATACAACAGGATATTACAGGTTCTGCACACAAACATGTTTATTAACTTTTACACTTACTGAGGCAATAATTAAGCAAAAAAAAAAAAGTCTATAGAATACTAATCCTGATTTAAATTTAAGGAGATCTAAATTGTTTTTCTGTTATTTATTTCATAATTTGAAATTTACAGATTCTGTGGAAAGGTAAACATTTGTATGGATTTAAATTGAAATCCTGTATAAATGAGGAAGAAGCATTTAACAATCAACAATCAGGAGTAAATTTTTCTGTTTCCTATCCTGATTTTTTTTTAAATTACCAACATTATTTTTATACATTTTCATGCTGAACAAGAATTATGACTGACTGAGCTTCTTTCTTTCTGAGAATGCTGCTGCGGTTTGATTTTCTGATGGAAGTTTTGACCTCTTGTTGTTAAAGCTGCAGTTCTGCAGGTTGACCAGCAGAGGACAATCCAGCTGAGCAAACAGCTGAGGCTCAGGGAAACTGGGACAGAGCTGGAAAGCCCAGAATAAACAAAAGCGACATATTTTCAATTATTACAAAACTAGTTTCAGTTTCAGCTATCAGTCCATTTTCAGCGACCTTTCTGACCTAATCTGGATGACTAATCCATCCGTCATAAAGATTAACAAATTCAGTCAAAGGTGTGTTTCCTGTAGAGCTTAAAATAAGCTTGAAAAGCTTGACTCTTAATCTGAAATAAATAAACCTTCTGTATTAAATATCATACAGGAGATGTTATGGTGCTCATAAAAACAGAAATTTATTTGATTATTTCTAGATTCAGTGAATGTAAACATTCATTAGGGCCTTTTAACTTTTAGGTTTTACTAAAACTAAAAGTTAATTTCCAATTTATTCAGTGCATGTTGTAAATAATCAGTTTATATAAGATGAAATTAATTATTTTTTCTCTTTTTGTAAAAAAGAAGATGGAATAAGAATCATTATTGCATCTTGATAAATACAGTTTATAATAAATATATAAAGTTATACCAATAATAATAACCCTGCTAGAGGGAATAAGCTCATGTACCTCCTGATCTCTGTAACACAGACTCAAGGCTGCATTTCAAATTCAAACTCAATACTTGTTTATTTTTTTTATTTATTTTTTAAGAAGCCTATTTGCGGTAATTGCTGCTGCATTGTCTTATTTAAATATTCCTCTGTACTTATTTTCCTTGTGTATTTTAATATTCTGTCTGTTTTATATTAAACCACATAAGCTGACCGAAAGTGTCTGTAAAGGATCCCATAAATAAAATCATTGATATTATTATCCTTATTCAAGATGATTTATGTTTCTGCAAATTTCACAGATTTAGAGAATATAAACATATGGGTTTTTACTCTGATGAAATCACTCTAACAGTTTTAAATCTCCTAGGATTAAAACAGATTAGGACTTAAACCAGTTAAACATCTACAGGAAGGTTAGAAAAGTTTTTCCAAATATTTAGGACTTACTTGAAACTTATGCTGTACTTTATTATGGAAGCAAATCGTTACCATATTTAAAATGAAAAAGCATTTCCAGAAATGTTTTTTTCATTTTAAATATGGTAACGATTTGCTTCCATACCTTTATTGAGCCCTAGATTTTTTAAAACTTCTAAACGTTAAGTTTTAAATTCCACAATTTCACATCTTAGTAAACATCTGGACCCTTTGGGATCCATCTTAGAATGAGTCTTTCTGTCGTTAGTTGAAGCAGTAAAATTCCTGATTGACTGAATAAAGCAGATATTGACAGAATTGGCTTTGAAGGGAATTTATTTAGATTCATTTCATCAACAAGCCTTTGTCATATAGTTGGATCAGAACCTCAGAATCTCACCATCATGTTGTTTTATGTTATAAAACCAAATTCTTGTTTTCTTTGTTGAACTATATTATATTATTATTATCTGTGTTCAGTGCTGCTTTCCTCTTCTCCCATCAGACTTAAACTTGGACAACCTTGAAATTTCATTTAGTACAGTTTTTCAGACTAATTGAACATTTCCATTCCATAAAGTGCAGCAGTGATCAAATGTAAACAGTGTGGGAGAAAAAAATGCATTGATATGGAAGTTCAGAGCATTTATATATATGGTGCTAATGTGCAGTATTTCTGCTTTGGTGTGATCAGTGTGATGCAGAGTCTGTTACATGATTAAAAGTGTTACAACATTCATCAGTGTGATGGCGGTGGGAAAGAAGCTGCTGCAGAACCTGCTGGTCCGGCATTGAATGCTGGGAAGCCTCTTCCCAGAGGGCAGCAGGGAGAACAGTCCATGGTGGGGGGGTGAGGGGTCACTGATGATGTCACGGGCTCGGGACACGCAGCGCTGGGATGAAATCAGTGAATAAACTCACTGGTTACCATTGTTCTCTCTGCTTTCTTCCATTATTCTCTCATTCTATTATTTTCAACCCGATAGCGATACTAAGGAAAATATTCGATACACGATACCATTTTCGATACTACAAGGATAAAAACAAAGTCTCCAAAATTCTACAGAAATATTTTCATTAATAAATAAAATACAATAAAAAAATACAATAAACAATAAGAACAATATTTTGAGGTTGTATGCTGTGCACAAAATTAAGCAAGCTTGATAAAAAACGTATAAAATTAAAATGAAGTGTTCCCTCCTTGGCTATGCTTTGCAGACATAACAATGACACTAACCAAACCGGTTAAGAAACAAAAATAATTCTCAGCAGCTGCACCTGTTACAGAAAACAAGTCTGAAACTGAAAAGTGCGTAGAATTATTCAATCACAGTGTTCATAAAGTGCATTTTCCTCTATTCTGCACTTTAGATGAATGACTGCTTAGGTGCCACTGGTGGTGGCATTTTTGATACTTTTAAAAACGAGTATTGTATCCGGATACAACGTTTCAGTATCGATACTCAAAAAAGTATTGATACTTTTGACAAAACTATTTTCTATGTCTGTTGCCGTCTTGATGTCTATTCTTCTCCTATTAAAGGACTTTTTGGTGTTTTTTTTCCACACCAGTCTGCCTCTACATTTCTTCCCTTCTTAAACCAAATCATGACAGATTTGATAAATGAAATAATGTGGAATTATTTTTTTTTTTGGAGGCCTATGACAATTAAACATGCATTTGTTGTGACATTATGCCTACAGCAAATATCAGGGCTCCCAACTAAGATCAAATGTTTGGGACCCAGATTAGATTCTTTGTGTTTTTGTGCACAAAATGTAATAAAATCTGGGATGGTTTTTATGAGCCCAAACTGACAGATTTTTAAGCAGGAATTAAATTCAGGGACGTGATAAAGTTTAATGTAAGATATATCGATTAGTGCTCTCCAAAGTATGGATACTTTGAAAAGTATCAATAGACAATATTCATTTGGCATGGTGTCAGTTCTAAATCAGAATATTATTTACATTTTTTTGATAAAGTTAATTTTAGATTTCTAGATTATTTTCGCATTAAATGAGTAAGACCTCCAACAACCTTAAAATATTATCAAATGTTGTATTCTGGTTATTTATTTTGCATTTATTTGAACACCTATTTAGTTAATATAATCTGCGATTCTGTTGCGAAACCATTTTCTATTTAGAAATTGAATAAGTTGGAGTTTTTCATGCTGATAAATATGTTGTTTCTTTTATTCCTTTAATTATTTGGTATTGTTCAATCTTTGTGGCAGTGAAAATGGTATCGAGTATCGTATATTTTCTTGGGTATCGATATCAAATTGGGAATTTTTTTTTCATGACAATAATATCAATATAAATTTACTCTTGATTTTCTTTTGCAAACATTTTCCGCACGGAATAGAGATCCTATTAAAAAATTGCTTAAAGTTTAGCTAAAGAGATTATAGTATAGTATAAATGGTGGGTTTGAAAGAGACAAAGAAAGCTGAAATATCAAACAATGTTCTAGAAACATCTATTGCAATAGTTGTTTTCCGGTCTAATAAAGGAGAACCTGATCAGAGATCCAAACCAGAACCAGTTTTCCAGATGTCAACTTGCAGTTTTAGAAAATTGTAAATCCATCTGCAGGTTTTATTTCTATAACTTAGAGGCGTCTGTCTGTCTGTCCCTCCTCAGACACGAGAACGACGTCCAGCACTTCAAGGTGATGAGAGACAATAAGGGCCAGTACTTCCTGTGGTCGGAGAAGTTCACCTCACTCAACAAACTGGTGGACTTCTACAAAACCACCTCCATCTCCAAAACCAGACAGATCTTCCTGTACGACGGCAGCTCAGACGGCAGGAATGGCCCCATGTCCCAGGTAATAAAAAGGCTCTTTTATTCTCATTTTCTCATTGAAGGAAACTATTTATGCAATAAATGACCATACAATCACTCAACCAGGCAGTGATTCTGTTCTACGGGTTCTTTGTTTGTTCTTGTTCTTGTTTCTACTAATCCAAAAATACATAAATAATCAGAATAGAAAATTGCATAAAGTTAAACTTTTCAGTTATGAGATTCTAATTTAAAGTGAGGAACTATTTGGTTTTATATGTTTGCCCATTTTTCTGAAACCTTAAAGGTAACAAACGTCACTGTATTTTTTAATGTGCTTTATTCTGTGAAAGGTGTTTTCCGTGTCTAAACCTTGAAGCTTTCTCTTTCTGGTTCCTTTTCCTGAAAAGAGATCACTCTGGAAAAAGTCTTTAAATAACACTTCATAACTGGCAGTTAATATGAAAGTTCAGAAATGTTAAAATTTCAATAGTTTAGAAAGAGTTTGTTTTTGTTTGTTTTTTCAGTTGTTGAGGACATTTTTTTTTTTTTTAGGAAAGACGGGGCCACCTGAGTGAACAGAAATAATTATTTTAGTGTCAAACCTCATTCAGATACATTAAATACATTAAATTGTGATTAAAAAGTCATGAGTTTCCTCATAATCAACCAATATCACTTAGTGATAGGGCATTATGTATATTAACTACACACAGAATGATGATTATTAGTATTTTTTGATAATATAAATATATTATTTAGGGCTAGAAACAACTAAACGGCCTAATAAAAACCTTTTTTAAAACCTGTTTAAATGTTAATTATTTTATCTCACTCAATGGTTTCTTTTGTAAATTCAAAAGGTTTCCTACCAATTATTTTTCAGATATTTCCAACTGAAGCTATCATGTTGGGAAACATTTAGATTTTGACCTTCCAGGTTGAGCTGAAAGGATAAGAACAATTTTTCTTCTGATCTTCACCGTCTGACTTCCTATGTGATAAAAACCCATTTGATTTATACGCGTATAAATAGAGACGAGAGTTGTTTATTTCATTTATCTCTTTAGGTTTGCATATCTCAATGAATCTCTCTTATCGGCTTCCTGTGTTTCCTTCCTGCAGGGGAAGAGGGTGAGTTTGCCTGAACGCAACTCAGCTGCAGCCGTTGCTTCATCGCCTCGCAGGGCCTCAGATCAACCCGTCAGCCAGCTGGTAGCAACTTTTCTTTCTACAGTCTAATATTTATACATCTTTATTACATAAGAAATTAATTTTTTTTTACAGCTGAAAGAGCTACGTAACCTTATTAAGTTTGGCTTGGAATTTTTTTTGTACAGGGTAAAAAAAACTTAAAGAAAATCTAAAGTAATTTAAAGGTAATTAAAAAAAAGATAGTGATATAAAATATAGATGTTACATTTTTCTAGCCAGGGTAAATCTAGTTGAGTCTTGATCTGGATTTTCAGTTTTTTGGGCTCAAACACAGTAATTTCTGTCTCAATAAACAACGCACTGATTTGGTGACTGTGATAAACTATGGTCATGTGTTTGACAGAAATATAAAGTTGTGTGTCGGCAGGATATGTAAAGACATGCTCTAGTTCTCTATAATCTGGTTTAGTGGGATTACAGTATCTAGATGCTCAATTAAACTGAGTCTAGAAGGGATCTTTGAGGAACTCCATAATTAATACATTCTCTCCTAGATTTAAACTGAATAAAGTAAATCGCTGCCAAAAAAAAAAACGGAACCAGTTTAGCACCCAAAGCCGCCCACTTTTCCGCTCAATCAACCAATCATCATTGGATTTCTGTTGAATGCCAGACTCTGGGTCTCTGTTTCTAGGACGACTTTAACCATCTTGACATGGATGCAAGAAGAACATGTATCATTTTATTTTTATTTGTTTATTTCTTCTGATTTTAGGTTAAAAATCCTGCCATTCAGGAGCGAGCGCACACCATTGGTGGACACACGGGCAGAAGCAGCCCTGTCCCCTCCGCCTGTCATCCTCGCCGCATCTCTGAAACCATGCCTCCACCTACGGTCAGCCTGGTTCTGTTATTTTTTAGTGGGAAACTTTTCATCTATTACTATTTTACATACAGTAAAAAGAACTCAGCAGTGATTTATTATAATTTTTTTAATTAAAAAGGCTGTTTTTGGCCTGCCAACCAGGGCAAAGCCAGGGGATGTCATAGGCAGGTCCAAAAAAAAACCCCTCATACTTTGTACATCTTACTTGACTGGATCATTTCTGGTGCCCAGATAAGATCCCCTGTCACTCAGCTTGACTGACAGGATAATTCAAACTATTAGAGTTAGCCTAAGGATTGCAGGTTCCTACTTTTGTTTATGTTTGTAAGAGCATCTGTTGGCTGAGTAAATAAACCCCAAAGCAACTTTTGTTTGCAAAAATTTTGTTTGTAAAAATTGGGCATTATGGATGCTATTTTTATGTTATTCTATAAATATTGGCTTATTTATGTCACCTTGAATAAATCTGCAATCTTTCCCTAAGTGCTTCCCCCTATGGGTCATAGGGTGTGTTTAATTTACCTCAGAAGAGGCAACTGGGAGGTAATCTCTGGTACGGTCCCACTGTTTAAAGTTTTCAGTCATATGGCCACTATCGCTACTGTTTTGGCCACCGTACTTTCCCAGCAGAATGTGCAATAAATCCCTGTCACTCAGACTCATGCCCCCATGGCCGGTCAGGAATTGGAATTCCCAGAATTAGTTTAATTTTCGGGTGGAAACTTTATACACTCAGGGCCGGATCTATCAAAGGTTTGCGTGTATAAAAACGTGAGCTATTTCACTGCGCACGCTAAAAAATGTACAAACTGATCTATCAACAGCGTGCTAAAAGGATTTGGTCTTTAAAACGTGCTAAATAGCGCCTCTTATCCATTTAGTACTTTTTCTGCAATGAATATGCAATATGGGGCGTTTACACGCAAAAGTGCGTCTTGTGGGAGGAGAACATGTAAATATATTAATTTAGCACTCGCAAAGTGATTTATTAAACCTGAAAGCAATTTTGCTAACGGTATCTGACTCTATATTTAACACGTTTCAAAAGAAAGTGCAAATGGTCTGTATGCGTAATTGCGCACACATGGCAGCGGTTATTGTCGCAAGAAGGAGACATGGAAATGAAGCAAGGAGACGCAGAGAACGCATTTTTTCACTCCGTGTGAATATTTTTGGAATGAACGAGGAAACGATCATCAAAACATATCGTTTATCCAGCATTGCCATTTTGGAGCTGCAATTCCAGTGATTTGCTCCTCACAGAGCGTCAGCTGTACTTGTTCCTTAATGCTGGTCAGAGGCATCTCATCTACTGTGCCCCCTCCTGTTTTGTTTGCAGATGTTTTGTTATATGCCAGTTTTTCTTTGGTTCGTCTTCTAATATCCTGGTATCTTCTTTTTACTTCATCCACTGTTCGCAAGGTTTCTCCGACAGCATTTACTTTATTACAGATTTGTTCACATATAGCGCTCCTCTGTGTGACAGTCACACTTCTTTGCTGTAGCTCACTTAAATGTTTGTTGGCTTCATCCACCAACACCTCCATTTCCATGGGGTCGAATTTCCTCTTGCGCCTTCTGCTGTCCAAACTCGCCATGCCGCAAACCCCAAAACGCGCAAAACCATCATTTAAATAGGGCGTCTCCAACAGTTTTGCGCCTGCCACCAGTTACGCAATCACTCTTGTTAAATCACCCGCAAACCATGGTTCAGTCCCTCGCGCAAAATTCCAGTTTGCGAGCACAAATTACTGCACGCAAAATTGGATCTTGATAAATCCGGCCCTATTTGTTAGCTTAGTCTTTTATTTAAAGTACCCAGATTTACTGCAGCAAGATGGCAGAAGATTTTCAACAAAAGTTGTTTAAGACGGCTATGTTTGCTTAAAAAACCTTTTTATATTAAAGGTATAGTGGAGGATGTTCTTTTTCTGGGTGGATCATCTAAATAAGTGGTCCTCCTAATTGTCAATCATTCTGGTGATATGTGTACGTAAGGCCGTCCTACGTGCTCGTCCCCATATTCACTTACCGGCGGTGAGTCTGACAGTGGAAAAATTTCAAATCTTTGGGAAAGTAAGCTTGTATGAGTGATGTAAATAGCTACTTTTAACCAGAGCGTGCACGAGGTGAAATGGGCTCGTGCACGCTGTTGCACATGTTTGATAGGTGTAATTCACGAGGACGGGTCTTTTCAAAAATCCTCCACTATCCTTTAAGGCAGGAGTATAATTATATATGTCCGTATTCTATCCACTAAACATATCAGATCAATTACTGGGTGGTATATATTAATGTAGGTCATCAAAACCTAATGATTGAACATGAAATGCTCAAATGTAAACAACAAAAATGGCCTCTCCACACTCAGTCTAATCACTCATTGAAGAATAGAACTAAAAATATCTGGATCCTCAAAACAAAGTGAGGAAAACAGATTAAAATCCATTGAAGATGTCGTACAGTATTGCTCTGCCCTCGGTCTTAGAAGCTTTTAAAATACAATCTGTGCATCCTGCTCGGAGCTCCTGTAGGCTTGGCACCGCTGCGCAGTGGACATAATGAAACCGCTGTGTTTGGTTTTGTTATGTTCGTTCAAAGTTTATATCTTTTCGGAGGACGACATGTAATATGGGGGTAACTGAGTTCAGCTTAACTCTCCATCTGACGCTCCTCAGAGACAGACCACTCAAATGAACTGATTACAGGGGGAATTCAGATCATTTCATCTAAAATCAGAGGCAAATTGTACGTGTTATTAAAGGTTATAAATGTTGGTCTCTCTAATTATGTTATAAATCTTAGCCTTTAAAGACAATGTTTTTGATTCAGTTCAGTTAAACTGAAGAAAGCATCCTAAAATTAAGTAAATTTGACTTTTTAAGTCAAATTTGAAGTCAAATTTAGCCATATTTGTTAGACTTCTGTAAGATTTTTGTAAGTTGAGTAATTCTGACTCACAACTTTATGTTTTTTTTCCTCAATAACTTATGGTAAAGTTAATTAAACATTTATAACTTAAGTTGTAGAGTATCATCTTGTGGTGTTAAATGTTTTAAAAGTTGTGAGCTAGGTCATATATGAGCTGCCTTCATGATGGTAATGATCATTTCCCCCTTTCCAACAGCGATCGTCCACAGTGCAGGTGAGGGCGCTGTACGACTTCACCGCTGAGGAAGACGACGAGCTGGGGTTTAGTGCCGGTGACATCATCGAGGTGTTGGATCGCTCAGACAATTCTTGGTGGAAAGGCAGGCTGCGGGGGCAGAGTGGGTTGTTTCCTGCAAACTACACAGTACAGATATGAGGAAAGGCACCGTGGGCGAGGCTTTAGCTCCACACCAATCTGCAGACGGGAACAGTCGTCATCGGGTGTTTCTGAAAGTAACACCCAGCTCTGCACTGCAGTGGACTGTGGGTTTATAGATACATGGCTACCCAGCGTGGCTTGTTCAGGTTTTATTGAACGTTTAATTCTTGGGGGTGATAGACACACCTGCAGGATGGTTTCTGAAGAGGAAGTGCTGCAGATGCCACACTTTTTTTTTTTTTTTTTTTTTTTTTATTACAACAAATGTATTAAAAATGTGGCAAAAGGTATTTATGAGTTGAAAGCTTGTCTGATTACAGCCTGATCAACGGCTTTATGAGTGCATGAGTATATTTCCTTTCTGTCGCCTACATGTATGGATATTTTAATTATTTGTCAATTCTACTGAAATCAGTCTGTTTGTTTTATTCAACTCCAATTTTTTTGTTTTTATAAACATCCGTCTCAGCTTTTCTATTTTTGTCTGCCTCATTCAGCTGCATACATTAGCATGTTAAAAGGAGTAGGTGGTTTCAAAATAAAAGCCCTATAGACCTTCAACCTTGTGTTAGAAGGTTTTTCTGCTTTAAACTTTTTTTGTGCTGCTGTAAGGTTTATTTTTTCCCAACTTTAATAAAGAAATGCAGAAAAAGATACTTTTTTTTTCTTCATCCTGACATAATTTTCTCAGATTTAGTTACACTATTCCTTCACAAAAAAAGATTTTACACAACAGCTGTATTAGTTTAATTCTAACCATGGTGGTGAAATTTTAATAAAGCTTTTATTTTTATTAATGCATATTTGTACCTTTCTTTATTTTTATAGTCTTTTTTTCAGCTGTTACCATGAATACAGTCAAGTCTTAAGTACTGCAGTTGTAGTTGCTTTGTATGCAGAACCGTCAAAAGGAGCTGACCGCTGCACATATTTTGATGACATTTTAAAATCAGGCAAATCATTGTTCAAATCATTTTGCTGCAGAATGCATCGCAGCGTAAAATAACGGCAATGTCTTAGAGACAATATTTTATTGAAATGTATCAAAATAAAACAGGTTACGGTATTTTTACTGTATTTAAACATTTCTCAAATAAAATATCTTGTTACAACTAATCTTTATTCCTTTTTAGTAAACAACTGTTATGCTGGGTGGCAAAATGTTTCACAAAGAGAATTACATGTTTTACTCTGACAGGATGCTTCTCTATGTTCAGCATAGATGGGAAGAAACGAAGTACAAATACTTCATTACTGTACTCAAGTAGATTTTTCTGATATTTTTACTTTACTTTACTACTTATTTTTATGGCGACTTTTTACTTCTACTCCTTACATTTTTACACAAATATCTGTACTTTCTACTCCTTACATTTTAAAAAATTGGCTCGTTACTTTAGTTTTGAATCATTTCAATGGAGTTACCGTTATTATTTTTCACGTCATCAATACCAAATTCAATCTAATTGGATGGGAATCTACGTTGCATTTGACGCACCACTACAAGATGAATCGACAGATTCGGCGGTATTCATTGGCGGCAAATCATTGCAGCTTGGTGGCGGTGGCGTTAGCATAGTAGCATGGACGACGAGATGATTGAAAATGAACACAACGGAGATCTAGTCCTATTGGCAGACATCCATTTAAAATGTAGGCAACGGCATGAAAAAAGTGGTTTCTACTTTTACTTTTATACTTTAAGTAAATTTACAAGCCTGTACTTTGTTACTTTTACTTGAGTAAAGAAGTTTAATCAGTACTTCCACTTTTACCAGAGGATTTTTTAACACAAGTATCTGTACTTTTACTCAAGTACGGAAAGTGAGTACTTTTGCCATCTCTGATGTTCAGGATAGCTAAATTACTCAAACCATCATCTGCTATGTCTGAGCATAGGTTATTTTTACAAGCTTTAAATCTAAAAGTATATTTTTTTGTAAATTGAAGTTTAATTTAAACATCCCTCCTTTAATGGATGTCCCTAAAACTGAGCATAAATAATAATCCACTTTATTAAGTACACCTGTTTAATTAGTTTTAACACAGAAAATAAATAAAATTAAATGCTGCATTTCTAAAGAAAACTTGATGAAATTTGAAGCAAGCGTCAATAAAAGGAAACAAATACGGTTTTATTTGAATTTGTTTTGGCTGTTGATTCAAAACTGATTGGTCTGATGATTTCACAAACTGTTGAACTACTGAGATTTTCACACTCAGTCTTTGGAGTTTATAAGGAATAATTCAAAGAGTAAAATATACAGTAAACTGCATTAATGTTAATTAAAAAAAATGTTGCTAAAGTCGAAGGTTGGATTCCTTTCTGACAGACTATTTTGAGACTATAAAAAGGCAACATAAATTCTAATAAAAAATCTATTTGATAAATAAAATAATAAATAAAAAAAATAGACTCATTTTCAGCCAAAAATGCATCAAAGAGTCAAAGTTCCTCTCCACGTTGAAGTGAGACTTCCTGTTTGTACACAAGCTTTGTTGCTGCAGGTGGAGAAAGTTTGTTGTAGAGACAACAAATATGGCTGACTTCAGCAATATTAAACACATTTAGGGTAAACTAGCGGAGAATCAAATTTCAGTTTTCATATTAATTATTTTCAAGTGTTTACATAACATTATCCTGTAAAATTAGATTGGTCTAAACTTTAGCTGTCCCACTATTTTGATAGTGTCACTAAAACTTCAGTAAATAAATATGAACATGTAGGACTGATTGTAAAGCTTTCATTAAGTGTCAAATACTTTAATAAAATTTGTTAGCACACATTGAAATAACAATTTAAAGGTATATAAATAGATCAGTTATAACATATTTATATGATAGGTTATGATTTAGAGACTATTGTCAATGTGTAATAACAAAAGACGCGTTATTACACCTTAGTGTTAAAGGTGTCATCTAATAAAATTACACTTAATGATTATAATCATAAACATTCATAAAGACTCCCTCACGTTTGGTGTTATGTCTCTTTTATGCACAATCCTTCAAATAGTTAGTTAGAATTTTATTATCTACAAAAGATCATCTCAAGCTGATAAACTTGATCACGAGGATTCATTAGCAGCTTAAAATGAACACTTTGTTTCCAGGACTAAAGGACTAATGTCCAAGCAGGATCTAGAAAAACTAATTCATGTATTTTGAGAAGATTTGATCACTGCAACAGTGTCTCCATAGGTTTGCCTAAATAGTCCATCAGACAGCTGCAGCTGATCCAAAACACTGCTGGCCGCGTTCTCGCTACACTGAAAAAAACAGCTCATAAGATTTCCTTGAAAAATATATTGTAAGTATTTGCACTCAAATGATTTATGTAAAATTTAATGCTGCAATATCAAGTAACACTTGCCAGTATCAAGAGAATTTTACTTTCCATTAAACATAACAGTTGTGAAGATATTCAGTAACATTTACTTAATTACATCCAAGTTGTAAGTTAGATTTATTTTTAAAAAATTAAGTAAAGTGAATTTGCATTTTACTCAAAATTTTAAGTAAATGTTATATCCCTGTAGAATGTGTTGTTATGAAGTAATTTAAGTAGATATTAATTATTTTCTCTGATTGACATTTACTTTGCTTCATTATGTTACATTACTCGCTAATATTAGGTAACCATTGCCATTTTTCTTCTGATAAATGTTACCAAATACATTGAAATAAAAGTTTATACATTTTATATACCATCCATCTTCTTACACGCTTGTCCTGAGTGGGGTCTGCTGGTGCCTGTCTCCAGCAGTGATGGGCAAGAGGCCAGTCCATCACAGAGACACACAACCATTCATGCACACACACACACCTAAGGAGAATTTAGAGAAGCCAATCAACCTAACAGTCATGTTTTTGGACTGTGGGAGGAAGCCGGAGTACCCGGAGAGAACCAACGCATGCTTAGGGAGAACATGTAAACTCCATGCAGAAAGACCCCAGGTCGGGAATTGAACCCAGAACCTTCTTGCTGAAAGGCAGCAGCGCTACCCACTTCATAGCCTGACGTAGTCGACTCAATTCTAGTCAGAATGAGTCTGATGCTGCTCCATAGAGCTGTGATTATGGGGCGTGTTTTGAACGAACCAGGAAAGAAAATGCCTCTGCACTCAATTGGATAGACCTACAACCAATAAGAGCAACGGAGTGCGTGACGTATGTTAAGCGACGCATAGTTGTTGTCCACAAAAATCAAAGCGTGCAGTTTCACGCCTAGAATAAGAAGATGAGCCTTGATCGCGTTTCTCTGTTCCTCTTTTAAAATTAATTTGCTGTCGATATCTTCTAGAACAGACCTAATAGCAGAATCTACTCACCTCAACTCTCCAGCGGCAGCCATTGTTGTTGTCAACCAAGCGCGCTTTGGTCACGTGATTTGGTCAACGTTTTGGTCAACGTTGATTATGTTACTGCTGATCATCTGTCCATCATCGTATAAAGCCCGCCCTGACAATTTGATTGGATCACCAGAGGGTGGGCGATAATACTCGCGCTACTATGGAGCAGAGCCAGACCGAACTTCCCGACCTCAAACGTTGTGGGCGGGACTAAGTTCGGAATGGAACCCAGGCTACTCACTTCATGGGCCAGCCAGAAATTTGACAGTCTAACTGGAATTGTACTATTCAATAAAAAAAGTAAAACCCTAAAACTCAGTTTCAAGATTCATTACAGAAATTTACTCATGTAAGATCAAGAATATTTAACCGACACAAACACGCTCAAAATAACAGTGACATTTCTTGCGTCAATGTACACGCAGACTTAGTTATTATCACAAATGTAAAGTAGAGCAATAATAACTTACCTCAAACTGTTGTCAGGACTACCTCTTGCTCCGTCTCTGACGTCTGGACTCGGAGCAGAATCAGTCCTGCTGTGACACTACAGTGCGCATGCGCCGTGCTACCGCTTCAAAATGCTACATTTTTTGATTAATGTTTATCCAGTATTTTTGGTTTATCTTCATACAACTGGTAAATATTTAAATAGTTGAAATAGTTTAGAAGAGAGCACATCCAGCCAGTCACAGTCAGAGAAACAGGACTACACTGGAAAACAGGCCAAGCTCCAACATCTAGAAACAAAGGTGTTGATGGCAGCAGCACAGCTGATATTTCTCTCCAGGATGGAGTCACAGCCAAACAGGAACAGACCAGATGAAGCTACTATGAGAAAAAGCAGAGAGAGCAGAACGTTAGAGATTGAACTAACAGATTCTGCAGAGTGGGAGAATAGAGATAGAATGAAGCAGAATGATGAAAAAGGGGTCCCTATGTCGTCCAGCAGTCTAAGCCTATAGCAGCATAGCTATAGAGATAGCTCAGGATAACCTGAGCCACTCTAACTAGAAGCTTTATCAAAAAGGAAAGTTTTAAGCCTAGCCTTAAAAGTAGACAGGGTGTCTGCCTCACGGACTAAAACTGGTAGTTGGTTCCACAGCTTTGGATGCAATGCTGCCTTCATGTACCACATAAAGGCAGCATTAGTTTCTATGCTTCACTTATATGAAACAAACTATCAGTGGACTTATAAGGGCTGAAAGTCTGAGTTCTTTTAAGTCAAATTTAAAAACCCATTTGTTTAGAGCTAAACGTTGAGTCAGGTATTATTAGTTGCAGTCCAACTCGTTTTATCAGGTCTTTATTTGCTTTGATTCTAATTAATTGTATTTTTGTTGCTTGTTTTGATTTGCCACTTGGAAATTGTTAATTTATTCCTTGGTTTTTATTCTGCAGGTTTTCTAGTAAAGATTGTGGGAACCTCAGGTCTGTCTCTTAGCCCCGCCCCCTGCTCCCACCTGAGCTCCTCCCACACCTGTCGGCTCCTCTAACTGTAGCTGATGTTGCTGAGCAGCAGTCAGAGAGCCAGTAGTTCCTCTCGGCCATGGCGGAGTCCCAGCTGGTGTGCATGGACGATGAGCACGTCAACGAGAAGGTCCCGGAGTCCAGGCCGGAGTTCTACTACAGCGAGGAGCAGCGGGCGGCCCTGGAGCAGCTGCTGAGGAGCGGAGACGGAGCCTTCAAGATGCGCCTCAAGGAGGACAACATCAAGGACTTCCTCTGCGCCAAGGAGGTCAAAGTCATGAGAGAAACCTTCCAGGAGTACGACACGGACAGCGACTCTGAGCCCGGCGGGGAGGAGAAGCCCAGGGAGGCCTCCAGCGCGGACTCCGGGGTCCACTCCACCTACTGGCCGCAGATGTCCGACACCGAGGTGCCGTCTCTGGACATCGGCTGGCCGGCCAGCAGCGGGGTGTATAAGGGGGTGACCCGGGTGTCCGTTTACACCCATCCGCCCAAGGAGCCCGGGCCCCACATCAAGGAGGTGGTACGGAGACTCATCCAGGGTTCACATAAGGTAAAACACCATGTTTCCTGAAAAACATCCTTTATTTGTAAACAGAGCAGAGATAATCAGAGAAAAATAAAATATACAATTAAAGTTTAACAAAGTAATGTCCAGAGGTGGCTATTAATTAGTTACATTTACTCTGTTATATTTACTAGAGTAACTTTTTTTCTTTTACAGGATTTTACTTTAACTTAAGGTAAATGTATGATAAATTATATTTATCACTGCTTTTACTTCTGGTGGCTCCATCCATTGTCAATAACTTAAGTCATGAAAACTTAGCTTTTTTTTTTTTTTAAAGCTTATATGCAGCATTCTGACATACTTTCTTATTTGTATTTATATATACAGTATATATTTATATTTTTTTGGTTTAATGTTATTTTCCATCTGCTGAGTCTGCAGTATAACTGTAAATTTAACTTTTTCTACATTCAGAAACTAATGAAAAAGTGCTAAAACTCAAAATTACGTAAAAGTAAAAAAAAAAAATCTTTGAAAAAGTCCTCAAATCTTGGAATCCAATCCAGTGGATTTTTTTTGGGAACTTTTACGGAATGACTATGACCTGGATGACTGGGAGTCTTCATCAACCTAAAGCTCTAAACAACATGAAATCAGTTTTTATGATCATGGGGAGTCAGTAGATCAGTTACTCAGTACTTAAGTAGCATTTTTACTAAATACTTTCATAATCTTACTTGAGTAATTTCTTTAAAGGCTACTTTTTAAATTTTACTTCAGTAAAAATATGGTGAAGTAGTTTTACTTTTACTTAAGTACAAATTTTGCGTACACTACCCACCTTTGGCAATTTCATAAGACAATATTTTTTTAAGTGAAAGAACCAAAGTAACTCTCCAATTATCTGAAATAATTATCAAAAACAGGCAAATTTAGGTTTATAATAAAAATATGATTTTTATTGTGTGTGTATCTTTTTAAAAGATACAACCACTAGAGAGTTAATTATTTGGACAAAAGAATTAAAATATTGACTCTGAGGGAGCATTTAGTTTGCATATCAGTGACGGAAGTCGTTCTATCGAGAGAAAATCTACAACAACTCATTAAAAATGAGTCACCAACATAAATGTTTTCCTTTGGAGTAAATTTTTTTTTTTATATTTTTTTGAACAAATAAACTAAAGCCCCTTGCTTATACATAAAAAAAAAAAAAAACAGCAAATCAGTTTGTGCTTTTGTATTGATTGGTTGACTGATTGACTTTGTTAATCTCAGAGTGAAGAAATTTACTTGTTCCATCAAATCAAATAGTCAAAAAGAGAAGAAGAAGGTTCCAAAGAAAGAAACAACAGGTGCATGGGGTATTTACTATATATATATATATATATATATATATATATATATATATATATATATATATATATATATATATATATATATATATATATATATATATATATATATAGGGTTATTGCACAGGGTATTTACAGATATTTATGTATATAGTTAATACATTGGGTATCAAATCTAAAGAAACAGGGTATTGTACATGGTATTCAATAGTAATTGCACAAGTTATTCTCGTTTTAGTGTCGCATTGTAGAGTGTGGTTGCAGCAGGGATGAATGACCTGCGGTACCGCCCCTTTTTACAAACGGGGTGTAAATGTGTATTTAGGCTTAACTTTCTTTACCATGAGGTACTTTAATAAATCAACTGTACCTTTAGTTCAAAGCTCTTTGTTTCTGTTGTCAAACGAGGGAAAACTCCTGTTATTGACTTTAAGTAGCTTTAAGAAGTCACCTTTCCGTTGCCTACAGCATGATCTTCATGTCTTTGTGATTTTAAGCAGTAAAAACATTCACAGAGCAGGAACTGCTAGAAAAGATAACTGGATTTACAGAAACGTCTGAGCTGCAGTTTGTGTGTAAACTGATCTCAGGCGGATCCTTTGCAATGACTGAAAAACACCTCTGGCCTACTTGGGCTCACAGCAGGCAGACATAATTACCCTGAAATGATTTTCTTATTGGCTGGAGGTGATCAGGTGACAAATATCCCTACAGTTAGAGCAATTACCGTCACTCTTCGTGAGTCCTACCTATGAATCATTTCTCTTTAAACAACATGACAATCGTAGCTGCTGCTGAATAGTTTTCTTTTAAATCCCCATGAGGAGCATACAAGCTTTTATATGTTTAATCTCCTGATTATTGAAATATAGGTTAGTCATTAAATAATAGCCACAACACAAGTGGGGATCATTTCCGTGTTGTTTATTTTATTTTTCAAACTTATAAAAGATAAACTGTCTGTTAGAACATTAACAGAATGAACATTGCTTTAAAAAGCATTTTGACATCATGTAACAGCAACAGCATTTAGTTAAATTCCTCATAAAATGTGCCAATATTGCTCATAAATCCTTCACAAAAACCAGTCTGTTGCGAAAGAAGTGGAGTCTCACTTCACAAAAAGCGGATCATTACTTTTTGAAGCATTTATGTCACCCTTTGATCACTTTTAGGGGATATAAATCTTGTTATATAAATAGTTTAAGCTGTATGTTGAGGTGAGGCTTTGCTGATTACATGTCATCTGAAGAGTCTCTGAAGAACAGAGATCAGAACGCAGGTTACAGCATGTCTGTGTTCATCATTTTCACTTCATCAAGTGGAAATAAAATTATAATTACAGCTATTTGGTTCTAGCCCTTAAAGGGATGTGCTCCATATTTTTTCAACATTTGGTTGAAAGATTACAAGCAGTTAATAGAATACGATTTAATAATGTGACTGTATGACTGGCAAAAGAAAAATACACAGGTTCACATAATAAAGGGATCAACAGTAAAATGCAGAATAAAAAAAGACTCTTTATAGTGTCACATATACAAAAAAAAATTTATGTTTTTAAAATGTTTTTAAACTGTGAGATCAGTGTGTCCTCAGGCATTCATCAGTGATTCGGCAGCGCTTTAGTGAGAGCTTTCATCAACAGCAGCCAAACTAAGCGGAAATGTCTCGATTTAAAGGAACAAACAGTTTCTGCACATCTCAGGTTTTCAGGCTTTTTGTTTTTTCCGCTAAGGAAATAAAACATCACGCTGCCTCATCTGGTTTAGTTCTGGCCCTTGGATCACTGAGTTAGCAGATCTCTGATGACCTGAGGAGACAAAAAATAAACATGAAGTATTTTCCTTTGACTTCTGGGGGTTTGCTAGGACTTGGTTTCCTTGTGGTTGTCAGAACTCTGGTTGCAGCATTTTTGATGAGCTTTTGAGGTTCCCACGGTTTTAAAGTTGTGGGGAAGTCATATTTAAATGTCAAATCATTCTGGCTTAAACATGTATATGCATGTAATCTTTATCAGACAGAAAAAATTCTTTAAAAAAAAAATCCTGTCTTAAAATCTGTTTTTTTTCGTTGTCCTATGCAGGCCAGTTAGTTATTCGTCAGCCTGAACACCTAAATTCAGCCAATCATATATCAATGGCAGAGGTGGGGACTTGAGTTTGTGACTCGTACTCGAGTCGCACTAAAGTCGCATATTTAATGACTTCAGACTCGACCGAGACTCGCGATTTCCGACTTGTGAACAATATTTTATTTTTTAAGTGTTTTTTGTTTTACTAACTTGACTGAACGCCGCTCACCTTACCCGCACACAGCAGAGGTAAAAAAAAAAAAAACGGCAGAGGGGCTGTCAAACAGTCATGTAGCACTGACGTCACTGACGCAACGCTACGTGCCGTATAAGCATGTATTTTTCACTTACCAGTTCAAGATAATGATCATTCCATAGATATAATAGCGACCTTTAAGCTATACCGTCTCAGTGAAGGAGATGAAAACACAAGGAGAAACAAGCAAGCATGCAAATTAACTTATTTTTATTAATCATGTGATTAGAATTTATTGTGTGATTAATTTAATATTTCAACAGGCCTACTCTAGACTTGAGACTTAACTTGGACTTGCAAAAAATGACTTGTGAACATGTCTGCGGTCATCTGTCAATCAAATTTTTTCGGTCTTACCATCTGTCAGCTAATATACACAACATTTGAAATAAAAAACCAGAATCCTTTCCTTTCCCATTGAGTTGCGTCCCAGTGTTCACGGGGATGGACGTCTGTGTCTTCGGCAGGCGTAGAGCTAACAGAACTGGCAGCGTTGCGAGGCAAGGGCTCAAACATGTACGGCTGGAAGCCTTCTACACCAAACCAAGCTTCTGCCGCCCTGGCGTCCTCTTCCACAACATCTTCGTCCCCGCTTTCCTCCTCTAAATAAAAAATGGATGACGGAGGAGACTCATCCACGACCTCCGACACTAAACTCTCCTCCTCTTGCATGTTTCCGCTGTCCATAGCGTTCCTTGACAGCGTCGTTTCTAAGTCACCAATTTAGTGCTACTTGGTCCCAATGGAATTTCCCATTGGGAACGTGCTAACACTAAGATGCTAACTGGTTAGCAAGATGCTTCCGATGAACCGGCCACAATCAAACTTGCTTGCGAACCTTCCACCACAACAATCCCGCCCCCTTGATAATCAACCAATCACATTCACTTAATTCAGTCGTGTAAAGTCGGGCACCGCTCGGGAGAATTCGGAAATGCAACGGTTGGAACGGCTTTTTCACTACGACTTTAATGATTAATTGATTATTGTTTAAGTTTTTACAGCAATAGTTGCTTGTTTTTTCTTTGTTTTTTGGACAGTAGGCTGACAGGAAAGGAGGATGAGAGAGGGGGAGAGACATGTGGCAAAGGACCACAGGCCGGATTTGAATCCAGGTCGGCCGCATCGAGGACTGAGGGCTCTGTAGATGGGTCGTGTGCGCTAACGATTAATCACCGTGTTTTTCATATACACGTCGCTCCGGAGTTTAAGTCGCATCAGCCAAACAATGCATTATGAAGACGAAAAAGAACGTATGTACGTCGCATCTTTTTGAAAGGTTATTCTATCCATGGAATCCGTGCTCTGATAACGCGTGGTAGGCTACTGCTGGAAGACCGCACTACTTCCCTATGAC